ACTCCCACAAATTGTCTTCTGACCTCTACATGCATACCATGTCATGCAAACTTGTGTGCATGTACACAATCACACACATAATACAAGCATTTTCTAAAAAAGAAAATCTAAATGACCTTTAACAGACTTGATCTAAAATATTAAAATTTAAAAAGGAAATGACTGTCCATTTATTTCACTCCAAAATGGTGCTTTGAGCTCTCTCAGAAACACTTGGATTTAGCTGCTTCATGTTCATCCAGGAAGAAACTGAAACGCCTATCTTTTAGAAGACAATGGAGGGATGGAGGGGGATGGAAGGATGGGGAGGATGGAGGGATGAGGGAGGATAGAGGGATGGAGGGGGATAGATGATTTGTAAAAGATACAAAATTTGTTAAATTAAAAAAAAAAGACAAAAAATGGAAACCTGGTTCCTAAGATCCTAACAGATCTTGCAAGCAGATGTACTTGTGGGTTTTCTTTCTGGAAGTTAAATTGACAGAAAAATGAGCAGCCTTGGCTTTTTTTAAGTTACATAATTGAGCTTGCAGCATCAACAGTGCCTGGGAGAGCCTCCAGAAAGGTGGTGTACTGGATGGGGACAACATTCATTGACTTAATGTGTGACTTGAACTCCAAATATATGAGTTGCCTTTACTTTCCTACAGAAAGCATGATCTTGGGGCTGGAATATGATTGGTAGAGTGCTTGCCTAACATGCTAATCCTTATCCAATCCCCCAGCACTTCATAAAACGGGGGGGGGGGGGGGTGCCTTCTTTCAATCTCAGTGTTAGGGAGGTGGAGACAGAAAGATGAGTTCAAGGCCATCCTCTGTTATATAGTGAGTTCAAGGCCGGCCTGAACTACATGAGGAGGGAAGAGGAGGAAAGGAGAGAGGGAGAAGGGGAGGGAGGGAGGGAAGCAGACAGGCAATGTTACCTCATTCTGACATCTTCAGGATGAACTTCTCAGCTCTCTGCATGGAAAGAGTCTTTTCAATTTATCAGCTAAGGAAAACATTATACAAGTCCTTTGAAAGTAATAAACAGCATCTTTTGGAGAAATGCTCCAGAATTCATATCAACATTTAATTTTCCCTCTGTGTGTATGTTCTACTACACAAACAGGATGTTAAATCACTTAATGCAGAGAATTGACAGCATGGAGAAAACATTTGGATTGACTGTCTGGAGTTGCCATAAGCAGCTTTAATTATGACCCACTGCTCTTAGGTCCTGAAAGAGCCAGAAAATGACATCTGTGTGCCAAGATATTCATTAGAATTCCCTTCTCGGTCATTGTTCAGAAAGAAAAGTTCCCTTCTGGCCCCATCTTGGTATTTTAAGAGGATCGTTAATATGCCAGATTTTTTTCAAGGATCTGTCAGAGAACATGATTGTGTGCATACCTTGTATTTCACATTAAGAAAACATCTTGGAAGGGTCAAATGTCTTTTTGCTCTCATTTTGTTACCCCCAGAAAAGAATGGTTTTTGCAGTCATGAAATTAACTGGTGTTCTCTATCCAGACTTCCTCTTCCAAGCTATGCTTTCTTGTACAAACTGGGTCTTGTAAGCTTCAGAACTGGAAGGTCTAGGCAGCACAGCATGTCTCCAGAGGAGCTGCCTAGAAAAGATGGCTGCCTTTCTGGGGCTCTTTAGTGCTTTTCTCCCCCTGAATAAAATATTTTAGATTATTGGAGTTGGAGGTAGGTGTTAGAGATCCTCAAGTCTGGTTCTATGTATCAATTATCTAAGCTAAACCCATCTATGTACTGCTTCAGCCTTTTGTTCTAGATTGGAGGAAGAGCAGGTATGGACTGAAGAGATGGCTCAGACGCTGAGAAAACCCAAAGACCTGAAGACCAAGAACCATGTGAAAAACCAGTGTGCCTGTGCTGGGGGAGCAGAGTGGGGCATGGAGGGAGACAGGACAGTGATGGGGACTTGCTGATTGCGAGCATAACTCTTGTCTCAATGAGAGACCTTGTCTCCAGAGATGGACAGAACAAGACACTCAAAGTCTTCCTCTGGCTTCCACATATGTGCACCAGGCATGTGACTTGCATACATGTAGGCATACACCACACATACACACACGCGCACACGCACATGCACACATGCACACACTTATTCACAATACACAGAAGAACTGATGCTTTTTGTTTAAATCAGGACATCCTTGGTTGTTACTACTTTTAAAAGTTGCCAGTTAATGAGCATTGACTGTACTGCCAACCAGGTGTTAAAGCTTCATACACCTTGTATCATTCATCCTAACAAGCCCATAAGGTAAATATGATTACCCTGGCTTTATAGCTAATGAAATAGAGACTGAACTTAAAGAGATTTGCCCACAATTACAGGGCTGGGAGGAGGGAGAGTCGGCGTGCAAATTCAAGGTTGTCTGACTTCAAAGCCCAAGTTCTTTACTGTCCCCTCTACTGTCTGCCAAATGAAACAAGGCCAGAGTATAAATCAGCCAGGCTATCTTGGCCTCTCACATCACTTCAGTGCTTCAAATAATGAGGTGAGTGAGGAGTCCTCCACACTGATAAAGCACAGAGGGATGCCTGTGTCTAAGCAACAGGATCCTAGAGACAGGCTACTTCCCATTATCAGCTTGTCTTGGCCAACCTGAGAGTTTACTCTAGAAGCTTCCCAGCTTTTAAGGAGAGTTTGCTTATTCGGTGTTGAGATGTTGTCTATCGCGCGCACACGCGCACACACACACACACAAAACAAACAAATAAAACAACTGGAGTAAGGGACTTAGGATAGATACTTATTGGGGACAAAAAATTAGTTTGGAGAACGTTTTTGTTGTTGACCCCCAATTAAAGTCATACAGTGCTGGAGAACCAACGTGATCTAAATTAGGGAATCTGATTGTCTATGGTGGCACAGATGTCTGCAGTTGCACAAGGGTCACTGGCTGGAAATACCAGCTTCCCAGTTTTAGAGGCAGAGCTTTGACATTTCAGAAAAACTAACAAAGTTAAGATACAGTTGAGATGTTGTATATTAAATTCAAGGACAGACATGGGGCCTTCAGCAGAAACATTTAAGTTTGTTCACCTAGTGCCAGTGGAAACTATCGGCACAGAAAACTAGCTTCCACCTCTAGAAAAAAAAAATTCTATACTTAAAATGAGTATAGACAATGGGTTTGGTCCAGCTCTCACAATTTCCTCTTTGTAAATAAGGTTTCTGAACCCCTCTGCAAGCAATTATATGCAAGACCAACATGACTTAATGAATATCACCTCCATGATTAGTTATTTTGGTGTCAATACTTCATTCTGTATACACTCTAGGACACACCAACATCCTCTCTCATCTGGACCTTTCTAACAGGAATATATCTGGTGCCTGGAACAGGCCCCAGCACAGAGTATATTCGAAAACTGTAACTTTGTTACATGAATGAATGAAATCCAAGGGCTGAGGAGCTGATTGGGTAGGTAAAGAACTTGCTGTACAAGGGCGAGGCCCTGAGTTCAGATTCCCAGCTCCCTTATGAAAAGCCGGGTATAACAATGTGTGTATGTGCCTGTAATCCCAGTGCTGGGAAGGCAGAGACACGAGGGTCTCTGGGGCTGTTGGTTGGTCACTGATCCAGATGGATTAGTAAATTTCAGGTTCAGAGAATCACTGGCCTTGTCATGTAACTGGCGAGGCCTAGCCACAGTACTATGTTTCTGAAGTGGCAGCCCTACCCTGTTCCTGTAGATTAAACAGTAGAGATCTATTTTCTTGTGATTCTGCTGGCTGTATGTCTCCTCTCCTTAACTTGCAGGTATCTAACTTCTCTCTGTTTACTTAGGGATGGGTCTTCTTGTGGAAAAACATAATCCCAGCAGTCAGGAGGCTGAAGCAGAAGAATCTTAAATTCAAGGCCACACACACAAAAAAATCAATAGAAATAAGGCACAAATTAGATTAGGGCCCCCTCCCCAAATAATCTTTTTTTTTTCTTTTTTAAACCTTTCTTTCTTTGTTTAATTTTATGTGTACAAGTATTTACCTGCACGTATGTATGTACACCAAATTCATGCCTGGTGCCTCCAGAGGTGGGGGCAGAAGAGGGTATCGGAGCTGTTACTGGAGATACTGGCATTTGTGAGACACTAAGTAGATGCTGGGAACTGAACCCTGCTCTTCTGCAAAAGTAGCAGTACTCTTGACTCCTGAGTCATCTCTGCAGGAAATGTTTCTGAATTTCTCTTCAAAGGCAGTCATGCCCTCAGATGCTGGGGTTAGGAGTTTAACATATGAATGGGGGGCCCAGTTCAGGCCAAGACAAACAGTAACTCCAGTTCTTTGAATTCCAAGGTGCTTGCTTCTAGAATGCTCTCTGTCATTCTTTTTTTTTTTTTTTTTTTTTTTTTGGTTTTTCAAGATAGGGTTTCTCTGTGGCTTTGGAGGCTGTCCTGGAACTGGCTCTTATAGACCAGGCTGGTCTCGAACTCACAAAGATCCGCCTGTCTCTGCCTCCCGAGTGCTGGGATTAAAGGCATGCGCCACCAACGCCCGGCCCTGTCATTCTTTTCATTTATCTATTTATTATTTAGTTTTTGCTGTTGCTGTTGTTTTGATTTTTGCCGGGGGTGGGTCTCAGTATAGGTTCCAGAATGACCTTGAATTTGCAACCCTCGTGCCCGAGGCTTGGAATTACAAGTCCATCCACGCTGCCTTGCTCTCTGCCCTTCTTGGTACCCAGTCACATGCTGGATGGCCATCAGAACACCTGTTTTGTGTTACCTCATCACCAGCTGGCTTTCTTCCCGTTGCTGCAGCTTGTCTTCACTCCAAACACCTGCTCTGCTGCTGTTAACCCCTCCATTTCTGGCTCTCCCACTAGCTGCCACCCTAAGTCTAAAACAAACAAACCAATCAACTCCTGTTCTAATCTGTTATGGAACCATTTTTGGAACTGAAGAATGACAGTGTGTGAACTGAAAAACGTAGTGTGGCCTCACGAGATAAACGTTGTGCGCAATAGCAGTGGCGCTGTGCCCTGCCCAGAGAGCATCTAGTTGGATTAGTTCGGCATGGTGCTCCTATCAGGAGTGTCTGCAAAGCTCCTCATATGTTTTTAATAGGCAAAAGAGGTTAAGGATCACTGCTCCAACTGGCGTCCATCAAATTGAGACAAAAGGTTACCAACTAGGCTCATCGCAGAAGCAGCGTGAGAGCTGGGGATGCAGCACCATTCATGACTTGTAAACGGTTTAGCCTGAGCCTTCCCAAGCCCTGTGTCACCCTAACACGGAGGTAGGTGGCCAGCTCTTTGTTCTCACAACCTGGGGGAGGCTTATGGGTGTTTGTTTGTGGTGTGGAGCAATCTGGATGGGGGGAGGGGACCTTAGCAATGATGACTCTGGGTATAGGCAGGGATCATCTGTGCCAAGGCAGGGCCTGGAGGCTGCTGTGGATGATGGTATCCCAGCAGTGGGAAGGAAGGAATAGAACTGATAGGATTCCGGCTCAGAACAGCTAGACTCAGTTAGGCGACTGGGAGTGCCTATGGGCATGTGACTGGGCCCCATTGGGAACTAGACTGACCTGCCACGTCTAGGCTGGATGCTCCTCTCTACCCTCTGTCCCTTCTCATCCCCCCTCCACCTCCCACCACTTCCTAGGTCCCCAGAGGACTGGGTGAGGTGCTCAGGACACTTTCCCACCAGCCTCTTCCCGTATGGGTGAAGCCCAAGTTCTGGAGCTTCCGGATTTCCCTTTTGATTCTGAAGAGCCTTTTCTCCTTTCAACAAATCCTGCCTCTCTGTGAGTTAAAAGCTTTGACTTTCAAACCATTGTTTTTGATGTGGGCTTCAAGGGGGCAGTTCTGAAAGCCAGAAAACTCAACACTGACTGGCTTAGTTCAGACCGATTCTTTCTCCTTGCATTCCAGTTGTACCAATCTTAATTCTCCTCGATGAATGCTGCTGACTTACTAGGGGAAAGGTCAAGAGGAAAAAGTGTAGCATGGAAAAGCAGGAGGAACAACATTGCAAGACTCTTTCTATGTAAGAAACACTGCAGCACTGGTATATGTGCCACCTGCCCCACCCATGCCCAGAAGGCCAGGCTGTCCCTGCTGGGGGGGGGAGTAAAGAAGAGACTCCAGAGCTGTCTGTGTACTAGAAGTTCTGATTCATACTCATGAATACATTGTTTTCTTTAAGAAGTCAATGGCATGAAGGGGCTTGGCTCTAGGTTAAGAAATCGTTAAGAGGTTGAACAAATTTTCTTGGCATCTGTTTGGAACAAACCACTGTCATTCATTTGGGGACAAATTTGATTACAGACTGGGTATGAGATAGTACCTCTGAATTATTGTTTATGTTAATGATGTTTATATAAGAAGACTTCATTTTTGAAGGGAAGTATAATGAGATTTGGGGTAAATGATATGATGGAGAGAGAGAGAAGGAGAGAAGTAAGTAAAGAAGGGAAAAGAACAGGTACAAAAAGAAATAAGAATATACAAATCATAATAATTGTTAAATTGTTTTGATTCAGGGTTCTGGTATGTAACCCAGGCTAGCCTTGAACTAACAATGTAACCAAGGCTAGCCTTGAGCTTGAGCAACCCTTTGTGCCTCAGCCTCCCCAAGTATCGGATGACATACAGGCCAGTGCCACCACGATCAACTTCACTTGCTGGGTTTTTCATGAGTTTAAAAAGTTTCAAAATAGGCTTTTCAATATTATTAAATTAGTGCAGGAAAAGACAGATTGAGCCCCAGAAGAGAACTAAAGGACCAGAAGCATTCAAACATTTACTGTTTGAGAAGTTATCGGAGTACTCGTCTACAAGCCGATGAACTCTTTCTCCAAATAAAACTTGACATGAAGCCCCAACATATAACAAAAAAAGAGTGGAGCTGTCCCCTGGAGGCTGGAGAAAGAACCTGGCTGGCTTTTCCCTATCTGTACTCCAGAGAACTTCAGACTCCACTCTGGAGACACTGGAGGAAGGATGTAGCTTGCAGATCTGTGTCTTACTCCATACGCATGCTCAACAGCTGGCTGACAGTTTGCAGAAAGGATGAAGTTAAATCCCTGCCTCTCATCATAAACAAAATAAATTCCATTACATTAAAATGTTTAAGGGATGAAAAAAATCATAACATTATTAAAAGAAAAGTGGTTGTTTTAAAATATTAAGGCAGAAAAAGACTTTGCATGTAGACCCATGACAATGTAAATTATGAAGGTGGCATGGGTGAACTATATCAGAAGCATACCTGAACCAGATTTTATCCCAGCACTGGGGAGACAGACAGAGGCAGGTGTATTTTTTGAGTTCCAGGCAAGCCAGCCCTACACAGTGAGCCCAACTCAAAAGAAAGAGAAAGAAAGTTGGGGGAGGGAAATAAGGAGGGAGGGAGGGAGGGAGGAAGGGAAGGAGGGAGGGAAGGAAGGAAGGAAGGAAGGAAGGAAAGAAGGAAGGAAGGAAGGAAGGAAGGAAGGAAGGAAGGAAGGAGGAAAAGCCACTCATGGTTTACTGAATTCACGAGCTATATCAATTCCCTTGGCTTTATATCACCAAGTACTACTGATATCACTTGGTAGCCACAGCCTTTGGCAAACACAACTTCTTTTATTCCAGTCTCAATTATTACTCTTAACTCTCAGACCACACATTACACTTCTGTCTTACACACATATGTAATGTTACAGAATAGCAAATAAGGGGTTAAAGAGACAACAGGTAAACAGAGCCCATAGCCAAGACAAAGACCTGGGCATCACCAAAGTCACAAAGCTGCTCCAGGCACAGAGCTGGGTCTGGCATTCAGGAGTTCCTCATCTGTGGATGGCAGGACATGCGGACTCGATGGTGTAATGACAGGTAGGTGGGTGCTGTCCCCCCCCCCCCGTGCTAGGTGTCCCTCCTCTTATATGAACCTGGTGAGGATTTGTATTATCCGTTGGTCTGGTATGTTTGCTAAATTCATAAATCTGTCTTGTTTTGTTTTTTTTCCTAATAGAGCTTTAATAAACCCATGTGTTCCTAATTTACTTGGATATCTTCATAGGTGGTAGTATTTCCTTTGCATAAACATTATTTATAAGTCATTGTCTCATTCTCTGTGCCAGTTGCTTGCTTCTGCAAACAAAATACAGAATCATTCTGCTTAAGCTTTTGTCCTCAGTACACAGCCAACTGCTGCTTACAAATGGAGCAGACAAGACACAGCCTGGATGCTACTGTTCTATACAATAAAGAGTAATTGGAGCAGGACAGTCTGGTCTCCATAGAAAGAAAAAAACTACTTTATGTTTTAAACACACACACACACACACCTGTATCAAAAAGAAGCAAACAAACTCTGTGAAGTGACTCACCTCAGTCCAGTCCACAGGGTCATCACAGATCAAGCTTTAATAAAATGAACCAGAAAGTTCAAATTATAATAGGAAATGAAGCATGAAGAAGAGTCAGCTGATAATGGTAACTATGCTACTAGAACAAGATTATAACTTAAGTATTCAAGATAAAGCCAGGCAGTGGTAGTGCAGGACTTTAATGCCAGCACTCAGAGGGCAGAGGCAGGTGGATCTCTGTGAGTTCAAGCTCAGCCTGGTCTACAGAGAGAGTTCCAAGTCAAGATCCATAGCTACTGAGAAACCCTGTCTGTAGATACCAAAAATCAAAAACGTATTCAAGATATCAAGGGCATCATCAAAACCTAGAGGGCCTATGAGGTAGATCATGGGTAACGGCACTGTACAAGCCTGACCTCTGACTCCCAGTCTACAATGGAAGGAGAGAAACAACTCCCAAAAGCTGGTCTCTGCCTCTGCCTATGTGGTTTGGCACATCTGTGCCCACACTCACATGCACAAATATACATTTTTTTAAGACAGGGTCTCTCTATGTAACCAAAACCCTGGCTAACCTGGAACTCACAGAGATCCTCCTGCCTCTTCCCCTCAACCATTTTGCTTCCAATTATTTATCCTAAGAAATAATCATGAAATGATCCAAAAGAAATGCAAAATGAAGAACATAGGAGCATTTTAATGGCAAAAAATTATAAGAAAATTCTATTGTGTAACAGCAGAGAGGGATGGTTAAACAAATTGTGATGTTTTCCTCTAATGAGAAGTCATGAAGGAAATAAAAAAGATGTTGTATATAGATGTGTTTATTGACACTGAAAGATGTCCAAGATACACAGATGAGTGGAAAAAAGCAAGCAACAGGGCAACACGATCCCACTTCTTTTTAAATTGCCTAGCCCATTAAGGAAAGTTCACATACCCAATAAATAAGTAAATGTAGGCATATTAAAATCCACTAGGGAAAAGTTGTGGAAACGTACGCAATGTTGCATTTGTGTTCTGTTTTTTTGTGTGTAGTGCTGGGGATCAAACCCAGAGTCTAAAACATGCCAGGAAAGTGTTTTGTCCCAGGGCTCACCTCCCCAGCTCCGATAATTTTACTTTTGCATTCATCAAAATCACACATCAGAAAAGAAGATTCAGGCTCTATGTGTACGGTTTTCCAGAGAGACAGAATTAGCACGAAAGGATGAATAGACGGATGGATGGACGGACAGACAGACAGATGGCTATGTAATATAGAAATTGACTAACACAATTATGGAGGCTGAGAAGCCCTAAGATCCAGGAAAGCCAATTTAGTCTGAGTCCAAAAGCCTGGGATCTGAGGAGCTGAGGGTGTAGCTCCCTGTCTTTGGGGATGGGGTGCAGTTGACGTAAGGGCTGGAGTCTGAAGCTTCAAAACCAGGAGTCCAATGTCTATGTGAGTAGGAGGGAATGACTATCCCAGCTCAAAAAGAGAAAGGGCATTTCCCTTTCTTCTGCATGTTCTTGTCCTGTTACAGTCTCATGGATGGCCAAGTTGGTGCGGGTGGGTCGTCTTCACCAAGTCTGCTGACTCAAATGCTAATCTCCCCTGGAAACGCCCTCAATGACTCACCTAGAAATTGTGTTTTACCAGCTAGCTGGGCATCCCATGGCCCAGCCAAGGTGACATATATAATTAGCCATCACATATGGCAGGGTTGGCATAGCTATGGGGAGCTGAGAAGTCAGACACATTCCTGGTGAGACTAGAAACCTGTACAAGGCTGTCTCGAATGCTGCTCCTGCAGTTTAGTGTCATCTGAATGCTGAAGCCTCTTGACTAAATGGTGAAAACTCTGGATATAGTTGACTAAGAAATGCATACTCAACTCCATAAGAGGTCATGGGACTGGATGTTTATCTACATGTTTCTTGTGGCAGAGATGATGCAAGCACCCTTCACTGAAAGACAAGAAAGGTCCAGTGAGAAGGTACAGTGGGTAAAGGCCTGACTACTTAAGTTTGAGGCTGGAACACACACAGTATAAAGAAAAATCCAACTATTGAAAGTTTTCTCCTAATTTCCACAAGTGTGGGTGGTGGGCATGGATGTTTATCTATGTACACACACATTCATGCACACTACTACTACTACTACTACTAATAATAATAATAATAATAATAAATTTAAGTTGTAAACTTAAAAAGTAAGATGAGAGGTGGTTAGAGAGCTTGCTTAGTGGTTAAGAGCTCTTGGCCTTCCAGGGGACCCTGGTTCAGTTCCCAGCACCCACATCAGATGACTCACAACCACCTGTCCCTCCAGCTGCTTTCTGGTCTCAGCAGTCGCCTACATGTATATGGTGCACATAGACCTAAGCATGCATGCACAAAGATAAGAAAATATATAAAACTAAAAACTAATTTTTAAAGATAGGAAATAAAAAGTAGTAAAATTTCTTATGTATTAAATAAAAACCTTGGAATGACCAAAATATATAATAATATGATAGATTTATATGTTAAAACATGTAAGTGTAAAAAGATAAAATTTACAATCGCACTTGCACATATACATATATCAAACATAATAAGGAGGGTTGTTCAGAAGCATGTATAGAGGTACATACCCATAATCCAGCACTCAGGAGGTACAGGCAGGCGGATCAGGAGTTCAATGCCAGTCTTGGCTACATAGTATGTTAGTGCCAAAAATAAAATAAAATCCTTGATAGGGCTGCTATCAAGGATTCAGGAAAGGGTATGAAAATTAATACACATATAACATATATAACACAATATATAGTATATATAATAGTATATAAAATAGAGAAATATAATAGATATTATAAAAGAAATGTTGCAGAGCTAGTGATAATTTCCCTTAAGTTGACAAGTGTGTTTAATTCAGCTCTCCCCACCCAAAAGCTCCATTCTTAAAAGAATATGTCTGAGTATTAGATGTATATGTCTGTGTCTATAATATATATATCTATAATGTATTAAAGTATCTAAAAAGGTATAGACTAAAATACTAATGGTGGTTTTGGCTAGGGATGGGAATAAAGGTGAGTCTTTGCTGTGCTGAATAAATACTACGTAATAAGTCAAATACTTCCTGCTGTTAGAAAAACCTATAATAGTCTACTAAAATCAGCTGCCTGTGTGGCCACAGTCATTTTATTGTTTTTCCAGAATGTTCCAAAATAGCTCTGGAACAAGACCAGTGGGACCACCAGATATCTATCTAGCCTCACCCTTCTTCCCATGCAAATGAAGATGAGGTCTCCAATCCAGCTTTGGCAAAAGCCTCCCTGGAACTCAGGATAACAAGGCCTCCTGCTCCTCTGCTGGGAAAAGGAGGGGCAGCCTGTGCAGCTCCCTCAGAATCTCAGAACCTCCTCTCAAACGCTGCCTTGAACGGCAGATGCCAAAACAAAAGGTCCCACCTCAAGGGTGGAAACGCTATTTGCACTTTTGTAGACACAGGTGTTCTTCCAGGCCACTGGAGAGCTACAGTGCAGGACTGTGCATGGCCAGGAATAG